TAACACATGTTATGCATACAGTAATATAAAAATAAATATAATGATTATAATATATGTTTTTCTAAACACAAGTAGTATGTACAGTGGCCCCTTATTTTTGAGGCATCCTGGCTTTATACTTTGGCTAAACTTTGACATTTATAATTGATTACAAGCATTTAACAAAAGACAGAGCACATGGGCCTCTTGAGGCACGTATCAATGTTTTATCATGTTAAATATTAAAAACTTCTCACAAATATAAGTAAAGATGAGTTAATCAAATTCATATGAAGTACTCGTAGATGATCACCCGAATATACCCCCTATATGTGCAGGTAAAAAATACCACAGCACCTATCAGTATCTTACAATAGCAGCGCAATTTCAGGATGTTGCTCTGAGGAAGCAGGAAGGCCCCCAGAAACAAATCAGCCACTGTTAAATAGTGTTGTGTGATGCATGAACCTGTCAGAAGTATATTTGGTAATCTGCTGGGAACAGCCCATATGAATTTAATGAGCTTATCTTAACTTCTTTACTCATGAGTAGTTTGTTTTTACTTTTAATTATGATTAAATATTGATATGTGCTTCATGAGGTCCATGCACTCTCTTGTATGTTAAATCTCTAAACAGAGTACCTCTGTTATACACCAAACTGTATGGTGAGCAGCCAGCCATTAGGATGCGGTGATGTCTTGTGAAATTGCAATGCGGATTTGTAAGGGCTACTCTGCTTGCAAAACTGCAGCACTGCTGAAGCCCCTTTTTTGGAACATTCATTGTCAATGTGTAATCATATTCACTTTTTTTTGTTGTTTCATATCTAGCCTCTGTTGGAAGCACTTTGATCCTCTAAAGGGCAATAAATATTCATTTATCATCCTTTAGTTTAGAATCCGCTTATAGTGTATCCTTGCATTTGGTTTTAGGTGGTTTTTCATTGTTTGTATCTTGCTCTGTGAGGATTTCTTATAAAGCACTTTTTGAAATCGTCAGCTGTACTCCTTGCATTTTGGACTTCACTTTGTTACCTCTGACAAGTTGGTAATCTTTAAACCCCCACACAAAATATAATTTTACTGGCTTGCAATATGTTGCAGCAGTCTGATAGTATAGTCAAAAAGTTATTATTTCACAGCCAACAACAGTTATCTTCATATCCTTCAGATGAAGTCTGAAGAGTGTTTTAAATAGGTACTCCACACTTGTGCATCTGTGGATTATCACTGGAGTTTACCCAGCATCCTACAAGTGGCATGCAGTCTGAATCTACATGGTGTAATGGTTGTAGCACAGTTCCTAGCAACTAAAAACATTTCTGATGAATGTAGTGCTTGACAAGGAGAGTAGTCTCTTAAGGCAAGGGTAAGTAGTGCTCCATGGGGGAGTCAGCTGATATCTCATGACATGTTTTCTTTTACAGCTATTTAAGTGTCATTAAGCCCAACATTTTTTAAGGGCCTATGTCCTTAAAAGTATTACTCATTTATAGCCGAAGCTTTTCATCATTCCATTTGGCAAAGTTACTAAATACCTGGTTGATCCTGCCATGGGTTTCCCTCTTGTCTGTGGCAAACACGATCACAGCCCCTCCCCTTGGTGTTTAATTGCTACTTGTATTGTGCATGCCCCCCCCCCCATTCCGGAGTACTGAGTGTTTTTTTATCTCAATGCAAAAAATGCATTAAGGTTAAAAAAAACACCATGCCTTTAGTAGTACTTTAAAATAACAGCCATCTGACCTAATCTAATATAGTAAAAACATACAAATTACAGTAACATTAGGAGTAAGACACAATTTTACAAAAATAATGAGAATATAAGGATGAGCCTATATCACAGTTTTCACATATATTATCATGCTAACTGAAAAGGCTGGCTTTTGGTTACAAAAATATTCTGTAAAAGCTCATAAATAAGTTCTCAAAACTTCAAGAGAATACTTATAGAAAATATGGCTACTGCACAGTATAGTTAATAAAAAACGAATCATGTGTCAACAGGTCAAAGTCAGTAGTTAATCAATGTAGCTCATGAAGGCATATGCTTTGCTGCTTCCAATGTTTGTCATGTTTCCCATCAACAGAAAATAATATAGGGTAGTTTTATCAAGGCTTTGCTAGTAAATATATGCCACTTACATAAAAGAAAAAAAGTTTTTTTTGTTTTTTTTTAGCTCAAAAGCAACTAAAACAGGAATTTGCGTTCTTTATTTTAATTGTGCCAGAAGAAAAGAAAAAAAAAAAACAATCTGGACAAGGTGCTATGTCAAAACCATCTTTTTATATGAAAGTACCATCTATGCCCTCTTGTATTTTTGAAGGGCCATACAAAGACAACATCTACAATGCCATTCCTACCATAGGAACAAAATCTTTGGTGGCAGCCTTCATAGAGAGCACAAAAAGTGCAGGTTTTTTTTGTTACTCTCTTCCTTCTGTGAATACTGTGGAAAAACAGTGTTTTAATGCATCGTCTGCATCAGATTTGTAGCATACAAAAGGCAACCACAGGTCTTTGAATGGTGCATTTCATTTAAAACTTTCAGAAAACAAAGTGTAAACACGGGAGTGCTTTTTAACATTATATACTCCATGTTTTAGAACCTATTTGTTGCCAATTCTTTGCTTATCTTTTTCTAAGTGTAGTACAAGGGCTGTGGAATAGTATGTGACTGGTAAAACTACAATCTACAATCTCAATGCACCCTTCAAATGTATTTACATTTAATTTAGTATGTGAGCTAATAAGGCTAAATATGCACACTAAGTGGCGTTCATGATACTGCCACTCTAGGCAAACAATGGGCCAGCTATATAGTTCCCTGACCATTGCATTTTGCTCCTTCTGCTTGTCTCCAGACACCAAATCATGCCCATGTAGGCATAAGGTTATATAATGTGGAGCATGGAGCACTAATCAGCTATATGAGACAAAAGTACATATCCCTGAGGGGCTGAACTTGTTGTACTAGTTTTTGGATGTAGTTAGTGTACAATACAAGGACGCAGGTAGAGCCAAATGAAATCTCACCGCTCCAATTCCTTAGCCGCCATCAGTACTGCCTAGGTGCTGGTCTAATAGGTGCGTCTCCACCATGGACTGTAGTAGTATATGAACAGATCGCACTATCCAGAAAATTCCAATACTTCAGACTTTATTGAAATTCACAGCCATCCCAGTGTAACTGTGGATAAAGGTGTATAAAACAGCAAATACCAGCACCGCACCCCCTAACCAGCTACAACCTCTCACATGTTTCACCCATAGGCTTATTCATAGAATTCATATGAATAAGCCTACGGGTGAAACATGCGAGAGGTGGTAGCTGGTTGGTGGTTTGCGGTGCAGGTGTTACATACACTGTTACACTGAATTTGCTGTGAATTTCAATAAAGTCTTAATTATTGGAACTCTCTGGATAGTGCTGTCTGTTTGTATACTACAAGGACGCAGGTGTTATGAACTCTTAAATCCAACACAGAGGGCACAAGCCATAAGCTCATGATTGTGTGTGTTTTGGGTAGAGAAAGTGTAGCTAGATAATGAGCTAACCAATGTCAACATCATTAAACTGCAACATTTTGCAAGTAATTTAACTAAGATAAATTAACTCAAAATACAATGAACATAAGTATTAAGAGATTTACACAACAAGCTCTTACAGGGGGTGACCGGAAAAAAAAAGTTGTTTTAGCCATAACCAAAAAAAAAAAAAGTATTAAAGTTTTCTCCCCTATAGCATGTAGTGGGAAACCAATTAACTAGAATAATTCTACTTTTTGCAGCAAATGTTCTTCTGCTGTAGAAGGCACTGGATACCAACTGACGACTTTTACATTATTTTAGCTACTCCGAGTTCTGTATCAAAGTTCTGAGATGTTTTTAATAGACAACAAAGAACTCTAATTGCAATACCTTCTAATATCAGCCCACTAGGTTCAATTTCATCTTCTGAATGTACATATCAAAGTTGTCCCAAAGGCTTAAAACTGTTTTGACGTTAAGAGTTAATTGTGCACATCTATGCTCCAAGTTTGCCTTGTTTTTTTTTTTTAGTTTGTTTTTTTAACTGCTTAGCAATGTTTAATATCATAAAAAAGTGCATAACAATGCCAGCAGAAGTAGGCAAGGAATAGAAAAAGTATTAATTTAAAAAATAAACATTTTATGTGTTTGCCAAGAACTATTTTCCCTTAAAGTGGCACACAATTAAACAATAAAAAGAAAAAAAAAGAAATCTTCACAAAAAGACAAATTATATAACTGGATGAGCAGCGCTAAGAGTTCAATTGTCTATATCTCGTATAAGTGTCAATAGTTTAAACCATGAATAGTACTTTTTATCACATTATCTAAATATGATGAAAAGAAAAGTGAAATAAAAAGGACAACAATAAATGTGTGTCAAAATGTGACAAGCCTAAAGTGTATCGTGTCGAACCACCGATACAAAGTGTACTAGTGTAGAGATATTAGATCCCCACTTTAAAAATTGTGATGTGAAATAGAAGCTGCTGTATTATAGGCCACAGTGTCTAAAGATGTTATATTAGCGCTGTATACTCAGTTAAAACAAAAAGACAAATACCTACCAACAATAGTTAGGGAATCTCAGTGCTGCTGAATATACTAGCGTTTTTACCATGTGATTTTAACAACTTGAATGGTAATACACATTTACTGCTCCAATAATGTGGTTTTGATCTCACAGCTATGCTATACATTTCCAGTATGTATTTGGATGCTAGGACCTGCTGCAGCATTTTAGTACCAGGAGGGCCCTACAGCATAAGAACCCCTTAGATCAACTATGGAAACAGCTTTAGAGATCAGGTAAATGACCATAATTTCTGTGCAATACAAAGGAAAGTAAAACATTTGGTCTACCTTACCCTACCACATTTCTACAGAACATACACATTCCAGAACATACACTTTAGAATTTAGACTGGCATTCAGTGACTTCTTGCACTCATGCCTTCTTTTAGTTCCCTTTTTTTAATGTCTTCAGTGTTAATTATCAATCTTAACCGGTAATGAATCTGCTGAATCTGTTGCTGTAGATTGGGTGGGAAGCCAGATTGTAGTATCTTCTCCTCTGGACACTTTCTCCCACTGGCTGAGATTATCCCTTGACACAGGAAAAGGAAGAAATACAATTTTAGATATAGTAGCATGAATTACAGGTGTAACATTAAAAAAAAATATTTTAGCTAAATTATTTTACTTTAAGCTGAACGTTAGAGGCAGATAAACAATTTTTCATTAATACATCATTTTTAAATGCAAGAAGTGCAAGTACCTGAATTTTACCACATATAGCCCTCTGGGGCAGGTCTGGCTGATCTCATAGGAAGTGTGTTAAATTATGCTGGATATCAGACTAAGGACATATAGAGGCAGGAAAGAACTGTAGGTGACAGCTGGATTGAAGCCAATTGCTTTTTTTTTTCAATTTACCTTTTTATCTTGTTCATCTTAGCTAGAGCTTTGCTTTAACCCTTTTAGTGCCACTAAATTAGGTATTAGCAGTTTGTGTATCTTTCGCTCTGCATGCTTCAGGCTTTCAACCCAAAAGATTTGGAAGGCTTACAGCTATAGATCACTTCTATACGTTACAGATGGTGGTCTAACCACGTGTCCCAAGCTTACCTGGGCCCTTTGGGAACCTGGGGATTGTTAGTCCCTTTGTAATAGCAAAGCGTTTATTAAAAAAAAAAAAAGGTTAAAGAAATTCAATAAATGTAACTTTGAAACGTTAAATGATAACTATGATGTGAGTGCTTTTCACTCACCTCTTAGTTCTAGCCGACCTGTGACAATGAGACTGTCACAGGTCGGCTCACTAGATCGAGAAGTGAGCGAACACATACCGGTGTATGCTCACCTCTCGATCCTGTCACAGCTCTCTGCCCTGACAGGGGAGGGGCTGAATTCCCCCTCCCTGCTCCGATCCTCCAGCGCTGACTGGCAGATCAGACAGGGGAGGGGCGGTACAGCTGGCTCTGCCTGTAGATCGGCAGAGCCAGCTGTCACTCACGCAGCTGGGCAGATCCAGACTTAATTGTCGGGATCCGCTGCAGCTGTGGCGTCTCTGTATACCACGAGCAGTAGTTCGCGATATACTGCGGAGTCTCAGTATACCGCGAGCTACAGCTATACTGAGCTTAGGGTGATGGGAGGATGCTAGTTTGTGTCTTCCCGTTACCCTAAGGAGAACTATTGGGAAAAGCCTTAACCCCATAGTTCTCCTTTAAGGTAATACAGCTGTACTAATAGTTACTATTGCCTCCTCTGGGCAATTATTCTATCTATTCACAGAGTTATAGGTGACAGAAAAATTAGAAAAGAGTCATATTTCTAGATGTGTCTGAGTTACCCAAATTAATATTTTGTAATATGATCTGTTTTATAAGCCTCCATACATACAAGTATTGCCTTTGGTTATGAGGATTCCAGCACATAATTTGAGCTCCACAAAACCAAATGTATTGGTATAGAGTAATAGAACCAGCTAGATAATAGAACCAGCTAATAATCTACTTAGCTACCAAAAAATAATTAAGCATGCAATGACATATCCAATACATGGACAGTGGGATAGACAAATAAACATGAATAGGTGTTTAGGCTAAACCTGTATAAATCACCAGTTATATTGTGTGTGGGGGGCCCCATTCTGCTGTTCAAAAGACTACTATTTCCTTCCAGATTCTGAAATGTTATAGGGCTGGCTCCCATAGACTTACATCAAGTGGCATGGATTTGTGGCTTTCTAGTACTAATCTAATCAAATTATGTTAGTCCTCTGGGGATTGGATACTTTTCAAATGTGCTTTGTTACCAAAACCCAACCCATTTCCATGCAAATCTTTAATATATTAACGGCCGGACTTCTGGAGGGTAAATTAAAAATGCACAGATGTCTGTAGGACTTACCCCAACCCCTAGTCAATGTATTAAAGGGCTGGCTAATGTTATTTCTTATCTAAATAAGGGGATGATTTGAAGTTGGAGACAAAAAAGAGTGTGCACCCATGGTCTAGATAAGCAACTCTGGCACCAGCTAGTCTGTGTGACCTGAATTAACAGTACACACTAGCAACTGTTTAAAAGAGAATTACCACCACCCCAAGAATAGACCAAAAAACAAGATAATGAGACAGGAGATTATATCATCCAAGCTTTACATCACCAAGTGCAATGCAAAGCGTTGGATGCAGTGGTGTAAAGCACGCCGCCACTGAACTCTAGAGAAGTGGAGACCTGTTCTTTGGAGGGATGAATCACACTTCTCTGTCTGGCAATCCAATGGATGTGTCTGCGTTTGGAGGTTGCCAGGACAGCGGTACTTGCCTGACTACATTGTACCAAGTGTAAAGTTTGGTGGAGGGGGGATTATGGTGTGGGGTTGTTTTTCAGGGGTTGGGCTTGGCCCCTTAGTTCCAGTAAAGGGAACTTTTAAGGCATCAGCATACCAAGACATTTTGATACTCTCAACTTTGTGGGAACAGTTTGGGGGTGGCCCCTTCCTGTTCCAACATGACATCCATAAAGACATGGATGAGCAAGTTTGGGGTGGAGGAACTTTACTGGCCTGCACAGAGTCCTGGCCTCAACCCGATAGAACACCTTTGGGATGAATTAGAGCGGAGACTGCGGGCCAGGCCTTCACATCCAAGATCAGTACCTGACCTCACAAATGCGCTTCTGGAAGAATGGTCAAACATCCCTATAGACACACTCCTAAACCTTGTGGACAGCCTTCCCAGAAGAGTTGAAGCTGTTACAGTGGCAAAGGGTGGGCCAACTCAATATTGAACCCTACGGACTAAGATTGGGACGCCATTAAAGTTCATGTGCGTGTAAAGGCAGGCGTCCCAACACTTTTGGCAATATAGTGTGTATATATATA